ATATCCACTCTTCGAAACACCAAACAACTCTAGCCTATCCAAAATATGACTTACGAGACATCTCCGTCCACCTTCCAATAGTTTTTACCTGCTCCTCAACTTCATCTAGTGTACTAGTGTACGCGCGTCCTCTTAATCACAGGGGTTCACAAGGATTAGAATCTAATAACTCAAGGACGCCAATCGTCTAATGAAAAACAAGTAACGACAAAAAATATCATTTGAAAAATATATACAATTATAAAATACGTTTACCTTAAATAAATTATTTTTGGAAGACAATAGCTATGTTACATACCTTTTAGTGAAACTCCTGTCATGGTGCAGATAAAAAAAGCAGTGTTACTTGTACTGGAAGTCAATTCTTCTTTCTTTCTTGTCCGTCAATATATCGATTCCTTTCCCAATTAAGTCTCTAATTTAATTTATCGTGCTCTTTTCAACAGATATGGGAAAATCAGTCAGACTTTTTTCACTTCACTTCATTAATATTTAAAAGGGGCTGGACACTATTTATCTTCAATCATAATTCATTCCATACGTGTCAAATTCACATTTGCATTCGATCATACGACGTACTAAGATTCGCGAATTTTATATTAAAAATGGATCACTATTATTGTTCTCGATAACTTTACTGGAATACAAAAATAAACACTCACGTAACATTTGCTTTACCACAACGTTAATAACTTACGTACATAACACGAATTCATACTCGTATGGCGAGGCCAAGCCACTTCTGGCCACCACTCTGCCTATCGATCAACAGAAGATTTCTAAACATTTGTCATAGCTAACAGAATAAAAAGCTTTTGAATATAACGATGAAATAATGAGAATATTTTGAAGATATTTGTTCAATACATTGAACTCACATTTCTTTAATTATTTAAATCTATTTCGTATCAATTTTTGAAGATACGGCACAAATAATGTTTTATAAAATAGAAACACAGTACTTAGTCGGCACGAGTTTCTGTTCGGCGAAGAAAGCTCGGGATTCCCCCGAGTTAGTCTTTCTGGACAAAGACGCCTTCGTGGTGGTCGTGGATTTTCGCCAGCTTTCGATAGTCTTCGGATTGTGCTCTGCGCAGCAGACAAGCGCACAGGTCATATATTCGCCGCATCTTCTCCTCTCGCCTGCCGCCTCTCTTAGGGCGCCTTCCCACGTCGCCACGGCGCTGCGCTTCCTTCAAGCAGTAGAGGCCTTCCGACACCGCCACCGGCACAGCCTCGGCCGCACCGCCGCCCGCCGTGGAAGGGGGGTGGGTGGATTCTGCAGGGGTATGTTTCTCCGACCCTCCGGCGACGACGAACAACGGGATCGCAGCGACCGGCGGCACAGTGGGAAGGCTCCCATTTAAAGCTGTGTACTGCTAGCCGTGGCGCGTATGCCCTCCTCCGCTTCGCGTGGCGGGAGTATGGCGTCGGCTGCCGCAGCTGCCGCCACCCGCTGCACGTGGGAAGGCCTCCATTCAAACCAATGCTCTGCTACGCGCCGCGCTGCTGCGAAGCGCGCCGCGGTCGCGCCGTGGGAAGGGGCCCGTAGTCCTCATTTCACGCCGCTCGGCGGTTCTCTATTGCTTCCTGAACAAACACGCTGCGCGGAGGCATGCCGCAGCGCATCAGTCCTTCGCGCTGTCAACTGAATATTTGACAGAATTCGTAGCAGAAGTCTCACTCGACAACAAAATACACTTAGTAACTCCTCATTCAGCTGAAATAAACATTTCTGATCTCACGGAATTTTATGGGGGTTTACAGAATCCCCTGCAAGGGCCACCACTGTCTCTAACCTCCAACAACGCTAAAAACTGACTGGAAAACAGGCACACCTCTGAAATGCAAGAAAATCTACGACCCTTCAGAAATACCCAACCCAACCAATCTATATACAAACTAAACCAACGCATTAAAAAATTCCTTTAGATACTCAGCCCACATCTATAGCCTTCATCTCATCCTGAAGAAATCATCATCATGATCAGACATTTAAGACAATTACAATACTAGTACAGACGAGGAAGAAACTACTAAAACATTCATAGACGAATTCAAACACCATTACTAGACTCACAAATACGAAGATCCACTACGTAATAAAGGCCATACACAATAGCCCACTCCTCACCTTCGACCCCTCCAAATAATTACTAACATTTGCCAGTTCCTAATCCAAACGCTTCCTCCTTGCAATACCCCAATCCCAAACATAAATTACCTTAGAACCCCATCAGCAAAACCTGAACGAACAACGCTCTAGTACGATAAATACCGAAGGCAATAGACTGTTCAAAATAACCTACACCCGATGAAATCTTTCCACCTCAACTCAAGAACCTCACTGAAAACTATTAAGACCTATTTACTCTCAACTCATGTCTCAAACTAGCCTAGTTCCAAGCAGCCTTGAAAATCATCCGCGTGACCATTATTCGTAAATCCGGCAAGTATCAACGGTCCCTGCCCATTCACCGCCCCATAGCCTGCTCTCAAACCTAAGTAAAAACTACGAAAGAACTCTTCGCCTCCGCCTAGCCGGCATATCCCATGGCGCTGAGCTATCCCACCTTTTCTTCGTCTACATAAGCGACGCCCTCATCCCGTGGAGTGCAAACCTTTCTGTTCGCTGAACTTGCGCTTGCAAGAAACAACACATTTAGCCCAGCCCACAATGATTAATTAATTGTTAGTGATTCTGGGCGCGTCAACTACTAGGGTAGTTCCGTAAGTGTAGTGCACATTTTTACTGAGGATGTGGCGGTGGTCTTCCCCGTTGGGAGGGCGAAAACCGGTGCCGACCAACCGCCGGCTAGAGGGGTATTTCCCAACCACGTATCTCTCACCAGCCGGAATAAGCTCTAAGCTTCCGACCGGTCTCCCGGCATGCGTGGTAGTGTGTGTAAGGGGTGAGTATAGGACAAGGAGAGGTAGTCGCGGCCCGTGACCCGTTTGTTAGGTTACTGCTCCGGCATTCACCTGATCGGCAAAAATACGGAAAACTTCCGTTCAAATCAGCTGGCCACTAACATTCTCCTCCAGACCGCGGTTTAACCTGCCAACGTCGGATCCGACCAAGGTAAGAGGACCTATAGTGACATCATTTGATGCCCTGAGCCATCTCTCCAGGTTCCAGTCGGCAAGAAATGGAAACGAAAGAGAGGGGGCTGGAAAATGGTCATAAAACTTTGTCTTGGGGTATGTTGTATGTCCCCATGCACTTGTTAAAATTCCCAAGTTAATGATCTCCCAGACTGTGCTAATTCCAAGAGGCCTCTGAAAAAATCGTATTTTTCTTTTTTCGTGTTTTCTCTTTAACCTAAACTCCGATAAAAAAATTATACAAATCAATTTGACAGAAGATAAAATTTCCTGTGATTTTGTAAACATTTCTTTTGAAAGCAATCACCAAGCGAGAAATAGCTTTCCAAAAAACCTCATATTTTCGTTTCTCAAAAATGTGTGCAAAAATATCTTTATGACAATTTAATCAACTTGTATTAAATATAATAATTATCAGTAGTACTATTATTTATCTCACCATCAATGTACCCATTGCGAAAAATCTGAATAAAATTGAAGTCTACAGTAAATTTGAAGTCGGTAATGTTAGAACATCGAAATTGATATATATTTATAATTTCTGCAGGTAGGTTTATGTAATATGGTGGCAGAACACTACAATTTACATATTACAATTAGGAATATTAACACAATGTATCTTTAAATTTTTTTAAGCAATAATAATATAACAATGATAACAATAAAGGCAATAATAGCATCAACTCTACATTTTATGGCTGTCCTGCAGAGATATTTTAAACTAATAAATGCACATATTTTAATTTCACTGCACTGAACTCCATTCCACTTCCCTTCTCTTTCAATTTCGCTATTGCACTTCACAACACATCATCACAGTTCAAAACGAACACAACTTTAAATATAATTACATTTTTAATAAAGCAATTCAAAATTAAATCTCTCGTAACAGACTTTGAGTATAAAGCATATTTTTATAAAAATTGATGTCAATATCAAAGCCAGCAATCTTCGAAAATTGGTTATATCAAATTTGGCCGTTTTCTAAAATACCAATTATAAAAACAATATTTGTTGCCTCTTAAGCATGAAGTTGCACTATTGATTCATACAATATTACATTTGTTAAAATAAACATTGTAAATTCTGAATGTAAACGTATTATTCCGAATAAATAAAATAAGAGCCTCCTCTTTCTCACATGCCTTCTACAAATTTAGCTACCATAAGATAGGGATTAGAATGCAAGTTAATAGCCCTCAACCTTTGAGCCTCAGAACATGTAGCACTTCTCACAAAGGCATTGCCCATGCCCATTATTTACACCACTCCCCTGCAAGCTCTTATGTCTGTTCGTTTGTCTTGCCTTTCTTCCAGACTAGTTTCTAGCTGCATTAACCATTTTGTGTTACTCCCTTAGTTTTTGAAGAAATAATATGCACAGAAGATAAAATATAGAAGATGGCAGGTTTATATGAAAAAGGGCTGCCAAAGATGGCCTTAACAGGTACCTGGGCATGATGGTCAGGAAGCACAAAAGTCCTCTCGCCACTCTCCCGGGGTACAACAGTTACTGCGAGAAGCTCTGTAGATCCCTCACCAGTTGCCAAGAAGGGATGAAGCAAAACCAAAAAAATAATCCTCATTCAAATGGGTCACTAATACGAGAAATTCTGGGCCATTTTTTTGCATGAGTAGGTTAAAATTGCTTTGATTCCACTCCGAACTATACAAAAAGTACTTGACGTTATTTACAGACAATGGCACACCCTAGAGTTGGGGGAGCAGTAGGTTTCAGCCCCTCCGTCTCCCCTATAAACTGATGACTTGAATTCACTTAATATAGCTAACAGCTTTTACTAATTTTCCATAGTTATGAAAGTTACTTAGTATATTAATTCAATATATTATAAATTACAATAAATAAATAAATAAACAAACAAACATTCATTTTAATAAATGAAACATTCTTTAAAAGAAGACATAGATAATATTTACTTATTGGGGGATCTACCAGATTGCTCTTGTCTTTTGTCTTGATATCAACAGGCGAACAAGTAATGCCATTGGGTCATAGTCGCATGCTACTACCAACTTAGGGAAATTCATCCAGTTCAGCGAGGGAAATTCATTCAAATCATCCAGTTCTTTGTTGGAATAACAAATAACAACCCTTAATACTAATACCTACTTAAATTGTGAAGGTTGGTAGAATGAACCCTGTACATTTGTTGTGCTGTCATGAGGAGCACAATCCACTATCCCCACCAATATGTAAAGCCAAAAACAACACCTATACATTCATGATTTCTTTCACGAAATCATGCTCTCTCCAAAGAGTGGAACATTTCTTACACTTAATTGACTAATCTAATGTGTTCTCAATATTTGTGATCACGTTAAAAGAACCTAACCTAGTAATATAATGTAATCTCTAGTCTCACACATCAAGGAAGATATTACAGGATGTTCACAAAACAATTAAATTACTTCAAAAAAAATTCTTTAAAAAATTGCTATTTACAACCTTTTCGCGATATATATTGAATGAGACTGCTGTCCATATTTTTCGATATGAGAGATTTTATGATGTAGGTGCTTTGACTAACAATACTGTTCATTGTAACATGTATTGCTTAGTCGACAACATGTAGTGAATGATTCACCCTCATATGAATAAAATCGTGTCTTATTAGTCCATGGTAGTGTCTTCACATATCGATGATAATAGTTGTTTCAGGTTGTGCATGTTGTTGTATGATGGGCAACAAAGTATTAGCACCCCTTTCATTTCCAGAGCAAATTTGTAATCTAACTTCCATTGTTTTGAGATCAATGAGGGAGATCAATGAGTGGACCAATTTTGTACTCATCAATTTCTATGAGTGAGTTCGATGCACCTGTACTCAGAGCTTTCAAATACCTTCTGTTGAAGCATCCTTGCAAACATCAGGCAGAAAGGATAAGCACTCCGCAAGTCTTCAGCAATTATTTCTTGCCTTTGTCGGAACATTGAATCAAAATATTTTCGTATGTATGTAACACAATACATAATATGAAGGGCTAATGTTCCATTTTGTAAAATCGTACCTTTCGTAGCAGCAATCTTCACTGTAGCATGTTTCTTTAAACAAAGAAGCCCTCAAATACCTTTCCTCTGTTCCCAGAAGAAGTTAGTAATGACCCACAATTCGGACATAGCATTTGAATGGGAACACGTCTATGATTATGACATAACCGTTTCTTGTCTGCCTCATTTCCCACAAAAATTGATCAAATCATCCAGTTCATGTTCCAGTTCATGTTCTGGTTCATGTTGGAATAACAAATAACAACACTTAATACTAATACGTACTTAAATTGTGAAGGTTGGTAGAATGAACCCTGTACATTTGTTGTGATGTCATGAGGAGCACAATCCACTATCCCCACCAATATGTAAAGCCAAAAACAACACCTATACATTCATGATTTCTTTTGTCAAAATATTTCAAGCACCACTGAGCAGTTCACTGTCCACAACTTAGAGAAAAGGATATTTGTCACAAGGCTGTAAGGATTATGGCACAATGAGTGTTTCGATGTCTTCTTCTCAAGTCACATGCACAGCCAATGATAACATATCACTGAACTTTTCTTGACATACAGGACAAACATACCCAACACTATTTTCAGAACCTTCAGTATTAATTTCCTGGCGAAAACCTTCGTTTTTAAATATTGATTTTGAATCGTTGTTTTCATGTTTTCTTTTATGAATATGACAATCATCTTGCCTAAACACAGAACCGCAAAGTTCACAGCAATATTTTCCAGAATGATCTGCCTCATTATTATTTTCACCGTAGTAATAGAGACGACTAGCAGATTTAAAGCATTTCTCACATTTATCATGAGAATATTTTGGAGGGACAACTTTATGTTTGGAAAATTTATGTCCCTTCAAATCCTTTCTAAATGATACCTTGTGACCACACAATTCACAAATTGTGGATAACTGACAACACTTTGAAATGTGGTTCTTATAATCAGCAGAATTCTTAAATAGATCAGAACAGAAATGGCACTTGTATGAAACATGTTGATTGGTACAGTTTTTGCCACTCTGATCTTCAAATGATTTGTTTTTCTTTTGTAATGTTTGGTTGCTCTCCCCACAATGTGAAAAGATGTCTTCACCTTCTTCCTCTTCCCTGTTTAAAGATGTCAACACCATCTCCTCCGCAAAAGCACGCGTTGAAGTTTCATCTGTACGAGCATCTGCAGGCATTTTCTCAACTTGCTTTCCCCCATTTTGTTGGACTTCGCTGCACATATATGAAAGCAATTTCAGTTTCAACATACACACACAAAGAAAACAAAAATATATAAGTCTTCTGATTTGACTTACCTTGGACACAGGTCACTAACACTTGTATTCTGAAAAATCGAAAATAAAACTACAATTAATTACAATTAAATGACTGAAAAGTCCATATACTATATCTTTTAACGAAAAAAATTTGAAATTTAATTTATTCCTTAAACTCAAGTGGGGAAATTAAAACTGAGATCCATACTTGAAGTATTGCTGATTATGTAATCCAGCAAATTTTATAAACTTGTGTTGTGAGAATAAATGAAAAAAGCACCATTTTAAATTTCAATGATGAAACAAGCAAAAAAATGTTTACTGGAGTGAAAAAAGTATCAAAACAATCCAAATGATTAACTAATCTCTAAGATCCACAAATGACTTGTTTCAATCTTGTGAAAGAAAGAAAAAATTTAATAACTAAGTACAATGAATAGCTAAACAATAAAACTTAAAAAACAGAGATCCTTCTTTGAAAGTATTTAGACACTCACAGGAGATTCTTTACCAAAGGTTTTCCAAAGAACTGCATCTGCAGCAACACAAGTCATGTAGAAGTCATGCCAGAGGTTTAAAACAGACAAACAATTGGAACAAATACCAAATGGCAATGAATCTTCCAAATTAAGCTGCAACATAAGCACAAAATAAATCAAACACTTATAAAAAAATATTTCAATTAAAATGGGGCCAATGGAACACAATTGTGACCAGAACTCAAAATTATTCATGGGCCCAAGTACATGGAAAAAAGCCCTCCAGTAAAGAAATTTAAAAAACACAACATATGACAAACTAAATAATAGAAGAAGAGAAATTTAAAGTAACAAGGTCCTAAATCCTTTTTTGTTACCTCATCCCTTACAATAAAACAATATTTCAATGAATACTTACAAAAACGCGCTTTGATATCTAAAAAAGGTTTTCATAAATAAAAAAGTTATTGTTAAATGAAATTTGAAATTCAATTTTTCTCACAACAATCTTGTTGCAGTTAGAACCATGTCAAATCAAGAGATGAGTCAATAACTAAAATCCAATTATAAAGTTGTTACTATTGAATGTTCATAATGTATGTGTTTTTTGCATAATAAAGGTTTTCTACTAACTAAACTACTATAATTAAAATAACTTTAATGGTTTTTTTGTTTTTCTTTTAAGTGTTATCCTACACATAATATTTCAAAGCAAGGTAGGGATTGTAACTATCAAATTTAATTTAAGAAATTCAAAAATACAGATTCACTATTAAAATAATCATATTCATACCTTGATAGGAAGGTATGTATCAATTTTTAATGATGTAGGCACGTCCTTAGATGGATCTGAGGCTGGTTCAAAAATAGGCATCAGTTCAGATCCTTTCTGCCCACACAGGCGGCATAACTTCCTTTTCAGACTATCCAATGTCTGCTGTTTGACAAGTAAGTCCTTCTCATTATCCTTACAAAAATGTGTGGTTTCTGTATAACATACAAAAGAGAAACATGTATTCTAGAAATATTCAAATAAGGAAAAAGCTTCTTTTACCAACACTTCCCTCTACTAAAGCTTCCCATGGATGACAACAAGACATTGAAGTTTGACAATCATCCATTCTTAAATGTTTAATAAATCAAATGATAACATAGTTTTTAATCACATATTTTTGTTTCTTTCACATTGCTTCTGACTATGATCTAAAGAGTAAATTATCTTCCAAATTTTACAAAAAATTGTAATGATTTAAAAAATAGTTGGTGCTCACCCATTTACTCATGTCGCAATATAGTAAAAAACTGAAAGTGAAATGCTTTTTCTAAATGGAATACAACCTAACTGCCTCACTATATTCATCCGTGAACAAGAACTTTACTGTTAGAATTATTGCATGACATTAAAATATTGCACATTATTTTAAGATCTAATTTTGAAGAACATATCATCACAAAAAATCTCTCAATATTGTCGTTGTAGGAAAACAGCCAAAAAGAAAAACAATCCTTTTTGCATTTTTCAAAAATTCAGAGATCAATGAATATTCAATCTGAACTGCGTCATTTGCTTCATCACTTTGCTCTATTCACAAAAATATTTAATCCAAAAGTAAAAAGACATTATTAACAAAAATTTTGAATATGTTCTTGAGGCTTCCTGTAAACTAGTCTTACAATCAAAATATCAGATTCAAATTCAAGGGCCCGTGACATCTGCCAGACGGATCAGAGAATATCAATTTCAAGTCTGTCTGTCTAAGGTTTAGCCGCTAGCTTTGTTCACACATGGCTTTGCCACAAAACAATTTTTTTCGGCATCAAGAACCCAGAAAACAAGGATTCTGTCTACACAACAAGTCAGAAGCAATTTACTGCACATAGGAGATAGATTATCCATGTTTTGGTTACAGGGAGCTAAAATTGGAGTTTTTCTGTGAAAATGTTCTTGTATATATCAAGAACTGAACAAATTAAGGTCTTGTTAAATAGACACAGGTCAATGAGAGCCAACCACAACCTGTCCCAAGTGGCCAAACAACAACAAAGCAAATGGCAGCAAACAACAGGAAATTACAGTTAGGCCTCTCATACTCTCATCACAGGCCAAAGGACACTAGTTCTCAATGCCTATTAGATGCTCTTATTTGCACTATTATCGGTCTATGTCGCTCTGGAATACAAACCAGACATTCAGATTTAAATAATGATTTATGACATTTAAAAAAACAGCTTGTCTTGTTTGTATTTGGACAAGACAGCTGTTCATACGTATACAAGGAGTACTATATGTAGTATAGAGAAAGTAAATGCGGAAAATAGATTTTGAGATTTCAACAAAAATGCATGCTTTGGAGTCCCCTGATAACGAAAATGTGTTGTTGTTTTTTTCAAAATGTCCATCTGTCTATCCATTTGTCTGTCCATTTTTTCGGCATCTTCCTACAACTTCAAAATTGAAGATAAAGATATTTCCTTCAAATGAAATTTATTGTCCATAATTAGTTCTTTCATTAAGGTCATGTACATTTTTAAACTTTTGATAGTTTTTGCACAAAATTTACAATTTTAAAGAATTCCAAAAACAAGATTTTCTCAAAAAGGGCTCCAAATTTGTTCATTATACTTTTGGTAGAGATGCACTCTACGACAGAAACGTCATATTGCTCTACTCTTTTGTTTTTTCAATAATGACAAAAATTTAATTTTTTTACTTGTCTCTCATGTCGTTAATATTTTCATTACCAGCAATTTTTCTTTCTATAGCATTTATAAGTACATGTGCTTTAAAAAATGTCAAAGTTTCTCAAGAACTAGTTTTCTGTTAAGAAGAGCTCAAAATTCTGCGATTTCAGAAACGTACAAATGCCATTTTTTCAAAACTTCTTCTTCAACTTTTCGTACATATAGTACTACTGGCACTGTATAAGATGATAAACAATTGATTGTGCTATATTCTTTTGTTTTTCCAATAATACACAAATCTCATGTTTTTGAAAAATCTCTCACGCCGTTAATATGCACATTTCTAGTGATTTGTATTCATTATTGCATTTGCAAGTGGAAGTGTCTTAAATGACTTTCAATGAAATTTTTTGGAAAACTCAATAGTTTTCTCTGGAAAAGAGCTTCAAATTTCGTAGTTACAGTAGGGCTAAATTGCCATTTTCATAAAAACAGCCTCCAACTTTTTAATGAAAATTGACACTAATGATGATGTTTTATTCTTCTTTAATACAAGTGAATTTTCCTATGAACCATGACAACATTGGACACTATTTTTAATTAAGAAGGTATCAAAAATTTTCCGAAAAATTTCCTATAAACCATACTCTTTGGCTGATTTTCTTCTTGGTCCTTTGCGCCCAATGCTAATAAATCAAAGTAATAAAATTCCATTATAAATGCCCTAGCATGAACTGACAATGTTAACATTGTTACTTCAAACAAGAGAGAAAACGTTTTTTCACAAAATATACAACTCAGACCTTCCAGACCAATGTGGTGATAAATGTGTGTAATGCCTGGAGAATTCTTCCTGATAAAGTTAAGCCCCTAGAACTAGTGTCTTATCTTTAGGAGCAATTAGAAATTAAGAATGACTTCTCAGGTTCCAGAAAAACCCTGTTATGTAAGTGAACAAAAATTGTTTTTGAAACAGATCTTTTGCAATTACATCAACATTACATTACCAAAACACAAGCCAAGTAACACAACCAGTCAACATAATTATACTTACAGCGGAATTCCCAATTAAAGAAGCAAAGTAAAGTGAATTCAACAAGCAACTGACTCTAATACATCCATTGCATTAATATAAGCATTGCTAATAAATTAATGGTAAATAGCATGATAAACCACAAAATTAAGAAAATGTATTTTTTATTTGCATAAATTTATATTTTAAAAACAGTTTATAAAGTAATACTAGTAGTATTCTTAAATCAAATTGGTTTATGAATAATGTTCAAAACTTGAGTTTTAAATTGAAATTGATTTGAAAAGGTGCCTAAATTTATCAGCATACACAATATCTCTTATATGCTCCACTTGTCTGTAATGGTCTCAATAACAAATTCAATATTTGTCAAACACTTAAAACCAAAAGACAATGCCATTGCTGGTCACAGCTATCTAAGAATGCCAAAAGTACAGGAAAATTGTGTTTCCATACCTGAAATCTGAGGTTCTGTAGGTTCCAAAGTAGCAATGTAATTATGATCAATTGCAGCTGATGCTGAAAAAAGGACAGACAATATAATAATTTAATAAATAAAATTGTTTGCCACATTTCTTTCTGCTATAATAAATTTAACTTGGAGCTACAATTTACCCATTACTATCTTTGGAAGAATAAAAAATTACATGTTACAAAATAAGTTACCAATAACACAGAGATCTTGACAATTTCTGGAAGCTAATTTCACTAACAGTAGTGACATTAGTAATTGTTTGTTTTTTTCTCCCCCCCCTCGGTAGAATCCAAATCTGCAATAAATAGTGTGTACTTATCAGAAATTGCTAATTTAAACCCTTACCCTTCAACAAGGGCATATAGGGATGTGGCTTGACTCACTTAAACGAGGCATTTTAAAAATGGACCGAGTTTTCTGAAATGTGACTGTACATTAGCCTGAACAAAAAATAGAAAATGAAGTTCATAATTAGTCATAGCAATTATTAACAATAGTGACACTTGAAAATATGATTTATAAAATCTGCAAACATGTAACCACTGGATCTCTACAAAAGAAGTAGAAGATAGCCATAAAGCTGCATCTAAGCACCTTGGGGTGAAAGAATGAAATAAAGGGAAAAGAATAAATGATGTCTGGAGGAATAGTATTTTAGAAGGAAAAGGAAAGCAAAAAAAAAAACAACAAACAAATGCTGATGAGAAACAGTAAAGTAATAGTAAATATTGATGATGCTGATGATGAAAATCTCAACGGCCAAATAAGTAGAGAAAGTCACTAGTGGTGCTACAGAATGGCACACTTTATTGTTCTAGTTAGTTTCCTTCAGACATTTCAGTTTTGCCCCACCCTCTTCTCAGCTGTCATCTATTGGTGTACAAAAGACATTTTTTTCACATTTTCTGAACTTTTTGGGTCCCTAGTAAAATATGACTTCCAAGAATATTTTCAAATGGTGAAATCTTGTCATATATGCACAGTTTTAGACACTGTTGTTTGAGCAATTTCTGAATGTACGCTTCAGAGCTCATTTACACCAAAAACGTTGGGAGTTTCTGAGAAACTTCATAAGAAATTATCTGAAGCAATTGTCACAAGTATGATAATTTATAAGAAATGCTCGTAATGTAAATACTAATAACATGAGAGAATTTAAAAACATACATTTAGTGATTTTTTTAAAAGTCAATGTTTTATCACAGTTGTGTTTATCAGTGCATTTAGCACTATCCGTACAGATGTATCAAAGAAAACATTTGGAGCAGTCTTCAATAAAACAGTGATTGAGCGTTTCTAAAAGTATGCAATTTTGGGCTCATTTTCTTCGTAAACTGTTGTTTTGAAAATCGTCATAACCGACCATTACAAACCTTTGTGCTCACAAATAGAATCTAATAGATAAAAATCAATGTTTGTTACACAATAACGTACACCTCCTCCTCAAAAATGCAGAACTGAGCATTTCCCATGCAGTTTGGGATTTCCTGTGTTTCCTAGACTCCCCAGGGAACTAAGAGTTTCCTTTTCTACACTTTCTAACATTGCTACATTGCTCTCTTATAATTTACAAATTGACTGAAGAGCTTAATAAAACTAATGAGAGCAATTAATGAGATAGTAATTCGCCTCTGGGGGTAATCCTCAACGTCTTGAGGGCACTCACTGTGGATCTTGGCAATGTCCCGGAGGTGCCAACTAGCACTGAAATGTTTTTGGCATTGGCATTTCCATGAAGTTGGGCGGGAGGGGAATGACTGAATGGTATTTTACCACATTTTCCTCCTCAGATTTCAGGTGAAACCCATCCTAGTAGCGCACAGTCACGTCGACCACATGGATCCTTCCCGTTTGTCTATTACCAGGTCGGGTTTCAAACTAACCTCTTCAGCAGCTAAAGTGGCTTCCGTGGACCCTAAGATGTATTCCCCCAATTGGTAGATGTGATGCGGTATTACGTAAGTATGGATGCCAAGTTCTGAGTGAGCATAAAATGCATCACTGAAGCCCGTATACACTAAGGTGTTCGACTTTCGGAGTATCTTCCCCTCGATCAAGTTTTTGATCTCATGATGATGCTTTATTCTTGAAGGCTTAGTTGAAGTACATTGTCTCAAGATGTAGTTCATGGTCCCCCATCGCTGTATGCGCTTTCATGCAATATACATCCTCTCTGGGCCTCCCCCTACTTGGGATAGATTTATTGGCAGTGGTATTCGACCTTAATTGGAGTGGTGTGATAAAAAAGATGCGGAATCAGAAGGCTTTAATCTCTCCAAAGGACACTCCCAATTGGAATGTTAATATGCACCTTTACAGCTCTCCTTTGGAATCCAAGCTTCTCCCAGGCGGCTACCTCGTTGTCAGCGCATTTCTTTTCATAGGCCCTTTTATCTTGTTCAATAATACGTTACGTTTTGTAATCTCCTGTTGAGACTCAATACTTTGGCTGTGTTTATTTTTCATTGGTAGAAAACCAGTCAGAAATCTCAGCCATCTACAAATAGGTTCTATAGATTGTTCTAATTGTAAACCTAAGTTCAATTCTACCCTAGAAATATGTTGGGCGTGCCTCAGCAAGCCCAGTCCTTCATTGGCCAGATAGAATATGCTATCTGCAGTATTCATATGCAGATGTACGATGTTTCACTGCCACCCTAATTTAACCATTTGCTTCTTTCAGCATCGACATAAGAATGGTATCAACAAAACCAATTGGTAGAAGTGATTTGTTATTACGTAAGTATGGATGCCAACTTCTGAGTGAGCATCAAATGCATCACTGAAGCCTCCGTCTAATTCAGAAAGGATGCTTTGAGTGGGAACCTGTTGCATTCAGTAATTCACTCATGTGTATGTTAAGGTATGATCATTACCAACCAGTGGAATTCTCCCCCCTCCCCCCAACCTTTCCAGATGCAGATCCTCAATGAAAGAGGGTCGTTCAAATTTAATTAGCTACATTGTCATGCTGACGGACCCAAGGCATTCCTTCACAATATCAACCAGTTCTTGTGCCCCTGGGTCATCTCTTTCTAACAGCACCAAATCGTCACCAGAAGCTGACACACATGCTCTCCTTCCTAACAGAGGATATCCTGACTTGTTTTCCAATTACTCAAGCAGGCACTCCTTAAGATTTCTAGATTAAAAAGGAATGGGGACAAGGGATCCCAATTTCATTCCATGAATTGGCACCTCAATGTACTTCGAGGGGTGTTGACAGACAATGGATATTTCAGCATAAGTGTACCATTACCAAATTGGTGAAGAAGTCGAGAATCCCATTCCTGGATAGGACCCACCAAATCCACGGGTGAAGATCTATCGAATGCTTTGGATGTATTTATAACAGCACCTACACCGCCCCTACCTTTTTTTCATAGATTGCTTTGTAAAAGATTTGAACATACACAAAACAGTCAGGTTGAGGGATCGACCCCTTTCAGTGAGGAATGACATCACCATGAATTGAATGTGTTTGTCCATAATACCCCAAAAGATTCTGCACAGCAGAGAGTCATCCATGATGGGATGATAGTTACAGGCATATTATCCGTACCTGCCTTTGGGATAAGGCTGGTGCTATCAGCTTTCCACAGCACAAAGCCACTGCATGGAGTTTGAATTTACAGTAGCAATATTTCAATTTGTGCCCCTGATGATGTGACCAACGGGTCCTGGAGCCAGGTCATTTTGCATCCCAAGCAACTTTTAATTTCAATCTTGCACCACACATACAATGGTTTCAGGCCCCCTTTCAGTTGCACAACTGCATCATCCTCTTTAAAGTAATTTGGAAAGGCAAATAGAGGCATAGTACGCCAAATGGATTTGTACAGGACATAACCTCATCCCTGTTACGTGACTGTTGATTGACACTAGTACAGTCAATACTTCCAATGCTCTTTGCCAATAGCACTGGATCTTTCTTGATAAGTTCTAGCGCCCAGTTAGAGGAAGTAATTTACTACATACAGAATCAAGATTTATCAACTTTTTTGTTACCAGTGTATAGCAATACGTTTGTTGTTGTTTTGTTGTTGTTTTTTGTTGAAAAAAACCTGTTTTCTCTCCCAGCACTACAATACTTTTTTTCTATTCTGAGCAAATTGATCTGCTCAGATCAGATCTGAAATCAGATTGAATTGAATTGAATTGAATTGAATTAATTACTTATTTTACATGGCGAGACTCGGGCCATCAGGCCCACTCTTCCGTCTGACCATGCAAATTTCGCTACGCTCCTCTCAGCAACTAGCAGAGGAAGGAGGCATTTCTTGGGCAAGAAACAGGCGATTTTGAATTTAGCTCAGAGGCGTCATTTAGGTTTGAGGATCTCCTTCTTCTTCGACGGTTTCTACCCCTTTGCCATTTTCGATTTCCATAATTCTCGGCCCTCCCATTGACCCTCTTCTAAACCTTTCTCCTCCATAACTTCATGTATATATTTCTTCCAGGTTAAACCAGGTCTACCTCTTCTACGTCTTCTTTCAGGTATCCAATTTAAAATTTGTTTTGGCCATCTCTCATTTCGCATCCTCTGGACATGTCCATACCATTAGACTAGAAAATAAAGCTCTTCAATGGTATGGACATGGTATTGAGGATCTTTTACATGCAAATAAATCTACTAACATGGGACAGCCAGCTTTACTTCCCCTCCGAAGGAAGGCATACGAAGGATTTTTTCGCCCTTAAAAATTCACAGCTTCGATCGGGTTTGAACCCGCCAACTTGGGTATACCAGTCCAATACGCTAACCTTTACACCATCGCCATTGATTTACACGGTGTGGATCCCTCTGAAGAAAGTAGAAGAAACTCAAATCAGCAATAAGTTTTTAAAATAAAGATTAGGTTGACCTACAACCTGGAGGCAGGAGTGGAAAAGGTGATGGCCAGTAGAGAATAAAACAATTGAAATACGAGTGAAATGGAAACTGGAATGCAAGAGATGTCTAATTATGAATAATGCTCCCATTAGCAGAACTAATGTGGCTGCCATACTACTGCTAATTATTTACAATTATATATTATTTGTACTAACTTGCTTCTGAAGGATCACTAGAATTGGATGATTTTCTTAAAGCAGACACAAGTCCATTGTAAGTATAAAGAGGGATTCTTTCACTGAAATAATGATAGTTAATTAGTTGATAATAGTTATTATACAAAGTATTTAATAAGTAAACAGCCACAAGCAATTAGAAATCATGTAAGAACAAAATACAAAAATAAAAATAATATTTACATACCGAGGCTTTTCTTTGCGAGCTTTTTTTAAAACCAACAGTTTCGTGGGTATTGATCCTGGGATCAGTTTCAACCTGTATCTGTTGACTTTCCCAACACCATCTGAGGTTTCAATACTTTCTTGCTCAAAACATTCGTCCTCAAAGTGTTGATGACATATTCTGCCTGCAAATCATACATTTTAGATGGGTGTGGGTACATGTATATACCTAATGTGTATACATAACCATTAGATCTACTTAAAAAGAATCAGCTATTTTTATAATTGAAAAAGTATTCAATGTACAACATTGTTGGATCCTCTCCACTTTTTACCATAATTTATTCCACTTACAAATCTTTGTTCCTTAAGATAGTTCTATTACAAATTAATACACTATTTCAACAACAAAAACTTTTTAATTCTTTTTAAATTACTCATTTACAATATTCTACTACTTCCAATTTATTTTCGTACAGTCGGTAATCATTTGCGGATTGTTATTTCTTTAAAACAAACACAGAAAAATTATTGAATTAAGTTGTAGACAAATTTAATTCAATATTCTCATAATACATTTATTTGAATAGATATTCAAGGGTTTACTATTATTCAGAAATATTTTATTTTACCGTGATTCGCATTATATGTAGCTTCATTTTTCCCACATGCCATCATCCATTTCTTTCTCAACTCTGGATCTTTAGGAAAATAAAAATATTTGAACTGCCCACTACCTATATTGCCACTCCTATTAGTGCAATAGCGTACACAACAGGTGGGCATCTCCAGCAGCACTAAAAAATAATCAAGAGTGAAATGATTGAATTAATATCAATTAATTGTAAAATAAATGATGATTCTAGTCTTTTTTTTTTATTAGACAAAGTAGATGTTTTGATCTCTATGCACGAGATACTCTTCAGTAAGTTACATTTCTAAAAATGCAGTTGTGTTATAAAATATTAGTTAAATGTTTTTTAGTCAAAATTATATGTTACAAATTCTCAAAATGCAATACATAACTACAATATAGAAGTCAAAGGAACTACAATAACTATAACTTACTGTTATATTGTAGTAAAAGGAGGAGGATTAAGAATAATTCTGTAATTAAAGGAACTACTTAAGCTCAACACCTCACATACAACTTTATCAAACAGAAAATCCAGAGAAAGTGCCATTCCAAAGAACAAGTATGTAATAAACCACAAGGTGTAGAAGGCCTTTCATGGTTGCTAATTGCCTTTTTAAAATAAAAAATGTAGATCAACTCACAGAGAACATTGGTGGCAGTGCGCAATCTAACATAGATGGTACTAGAAAATCAACTGTCATTTCTGTTGTTAAAGGACTTTCTTTTCAGATTAGATCAATTTTGAAACAATATAGTTGAAATGTAATTTTTTATAGTTTCAATACACTTGATCACATCATGAAAGGGAATAGACAAAGTACGCAGACAGCACAATTCTAGTTTACAGAAACAAATGAAATACCCAACACTGTAATAAGGTCTGAGAGACAAACAAAGCATCATCTAAAATAATATTTTCTGCACAGAAGAATCAACTAAAAATGGGTATTGAGAGGGTCATCTCTAAGCATGTACAATGTTCCAGACATGAAATGGATTGGAGCAATGTAGATATTTTAGACTGTGAATCAAACTGGTATAAGCTGTTGACCTTTTAAATATAATTTATTAATAAACAAAACTCTATTCTGAATGACGAGAAAGATTCTTCTAACTTTAACAACATATATGACCAAATTATTAACATTTAATAAACCTTTCATGATAAAAATTCATTCTCTTTAAATACTTAGCTGATTTTTTTATTACTTCATCTTATTCATAAATTAATTATTTAAACTATCATTCTTAACAAAATAAACTATTATTTGTCCATTGTAAATTTGAGATATCTTAAAAACTTTTAGTAACTTTTATTTCTGCATACATAAATGTTTTAATTCTACCCTACATTCACTAACTAGTCTATTCAATCAACCTCTAAATGCAGGCTGGTAACTCTCATCTATTTCAATGATGCTTGCAACTTGTAAGATGTACATAGGGTTAATTGTTTAAACGCTATGTATTACCTATTATGTTGACTGTGTGTTTCTCACCCTGGAACGATGTGCATATCATCGAAGAAAAGCTTTCTAACATCTTATAATTTAATACATACTATCATTTGGCATGGCCCTTTTTGATTTTCAGTTGACAGTAGGCATCGCAATTTGAGAACTTTAAACATTTAATTTTGGTTCATAAAACAATTATTAAAAAATGTTTTTGTAACACAATTATGTATTTTCAGAAACATAACATCTCATGCTTAGACACCGAAACGTATATTCATAAATGTTTAAAAATGTCAGGAATCATGGTATATTTAACAATTAGACTAAGAAAGAAATTGATTTTATATAATGTTGGGAGTAAATATAACACATCATTTACATTTATTGATCCATCCTCCAGGGAATTCACATCAAATAAATGTTGTAAATTGTGGGAGGGAAAAGTAATACCAAAAGGTACAAACCTTTCGTTCGACAACGAAGAAGGTAGAATCGCAAACAGAGACAATAACGGACCTTCTACTCGGATCCACTGCAGCAGACTGAACTAAGCAGTGAGTAATAAGGGGACCGAAGTGTATTTTAATGCAAACTGAACGTGTCGGGTGATGCAGTGCGGACTCTGAAATTCATCCAAGTTCACTCTCTCAAAGACGAAATAAGAATGACTCCGCGCCCGCCATTTTAGCTTTGTATTGTAGGTGATAATGTGATAGGCTGATACTGCGCATCCTCAGGAGCGCATCACTACACTTACATTTTTACAACGTGACACGTCAAAAGCTATCTTCGCCACGGAATATCTCACAACATTTCGTGTCTTTTTCGGTCGTGCCGCTAGATGCCACTAGACACATCTCACTTCTTGATACGGTTGCGATATTGCGACATCTAGCGACACGACTGAGAAAGACACGAAATGACATGAGATATTCCATCGTCAAGATAGCCCCTGACGCGCCACGTTGTAAAAACATAAGTTTAAACACCGATTGAAATAATAACTCCGTTCAACATTATATGCTGGCAGGATATGGGTGGATATCCAATCGTAAGCTTCATTGAGATTTTTGGTATTGAAGCTCTGGATTGCATGCCTCTCTTTTCAGCTCGTGACTTTCCGTTCTAGTCGAATTTTGTGGAATATCCTTCCTTCCACGTCGTCTCCCACGCCTATAAAAGATTTACTCAGTGCACAGTGCATTTATTTTTATGTATTTAATGCCAAAACAGTGAGTGTTAGAACTGTGAGGAGAAATATATTCTGTGCACGTTATCTTAAATTCTCTACCCTAACTCGCACGTAAGTTGAATTCAACGGGCTAGAATATACTAGAGTAGCTAAAGCATCATCTTTGAAGCCATATGTTTTGAAGTCAAAGCAGCGCCCTCTGGGAAAAAAAAGTATTCTACCCAGTACCTCCTAGATAGTACATGATTTGGTGTGGCATTGATTCTAGCATTACATTTGGCGGTGGTTACGGACGGTTACACAGTCCCTTTAATAATAATAATAATAATAATAATAATAATAATAATAATAATAATAATAATAATAATAATAATGATGATGATGATGATGATTCCCCGTGTGCTGCCGGGGATTTTAGTAGAATAGAAACCATGGGACCTCCCCCTGTCGTATAAGGCGACTAATCTAGCAGCTGTTCGCTGTCACTCCCCCAAACTCCCGTCATTCCCACAAACTTGGTGTGTCATTGCGTCCACTTACTTGTGGCACACTTCTGTTTTCTGTCCTGTAGGCAAATCTTCGTATCGGCCAACCCTTGTGTTTCCGATCCCGACGCTATTAGATTACGAGGACTAGGGGGTCGTTTCCGTTCTACTCTACTATCCTAATTCTATTCTTCACTGTCCCCACCGTCACTTCACTTCTATTCTTCCGTTTCCTTTTACCTGGCGGTAGCTCAAAAACGCTAGGGGAAGGTAACCCCGAAACGAAACCCGATATGGAAGGTCCCTTAGGATTAACAGTTACGGTGCAGGAGATCGGGGCCCCAGTACCGGCAGCAGGGGGTGGGCAAGCAGGTCCCCGGCGGTCGTCAACTAGCGACTGCAATTTCAGAGCCATGGACCGCTTGGCGTCTCTTAAATACACTGTGACAAGCCAAGGCCTAGAGTGTGCAGGGTCTAACCCCCTTTCTGGGAAGTCGAAACCGCAGAGATCGCCTCCAAGTACCCCAACCACTCCAGGGATACCTACCAACTAGCGGGAGCGAAATCCAAGCACGACTGCGGTACGAGATGGCGCGGCGAGGGAGAGACTAGGACTTGAGACAGGAAATGGACCCGCAGAAGAAATGACTTAGAGTGTTTTGATGAATAAATGGGAAGACGATACAACTGGGAGAATAGCAAATAACAATCATTGATAGCCTAAACGGAAACCTGAAGACGATGGAAGCGTATATGCTAATAAATAACCCGTTAAGTGTTAAGGAAGCTATGTCTAAAGCCCGGACTTACATCGAAGCATTTAGATACAGATGGCAAAATGTCCTAGAAAAGAAGATAGAGTTCCAAAAGACTATGCAATCCCTTGTAAAACGGAAAGAGGTAAATAGCATAGAAAAAAGACAGTACCCACCACATGTTCAAAGGAAAAAGAGAGAGGCGCTCAGTCCACCAGAAGAAGACGTTAGAAGAGGGAAGAAAGAAAAACAGAAAGCTTTGGTAGAGTCAACAGATGTCACCTGTGACGCCACAGAACAGCAGGGAATGGGGGTGGAGGGAGATGAAGAATGGCTGAAACCACCGGAGCAAAAGAAGAAAGAGGCAAGAGAAGACAAAAGAAAAGAGAAAGTGAAAGCTTAACAAAACAGGCCAAGAACTAAAACCCTTAACCAGGCCATCAAAATCACAGCCAAAGAGTGACAGACATATGCTGATATCCTCCCAAAGATGAAAAGTGCAGTCAATCTAAAAGACCACCACACAATCGTTAAGAAAATAAGAACTCAGACACAGGATCTACTAATTGTCCTTGGCAAAGAAGGGAACACATCATCATTTAACAAAGCACTGGTAAAGGCAATCGGGGAGAGTGCAACACTCACACCAAAAACTTTAATAGAAATTAGAGATATTGACGAGACTGTTTCAGCAAATTACGTAGTTGCTACAATCGGGAGGGTCCTAGACACACCGACCGAACAAATAGGCATCTCGTGCAGACTATATAAGGGGTTTGAAAGCACACAAACAGCGACAGTCTTGCTATCTACATACCATACCTATTGAAGAATGATAAGAGTAAAATAAAGATAGGATGGGTCAACTGCCAGATGCGCGAGAAGCTACAAGTAACAAGATGCTTCAAATGCCTAGATTTTGGACATATATCCACCGACTGCCCGGGCCCTGACAGCCTAGAAATGACAAACCTTTAAGACAACATGACTTCAAGATGACTCTAGAAAGCGGCGGTAGTAATACATAGTAATAAAACTGTCGTAACCCAATTTAAAGCTTGAAAGCATGGGTTCATATGAGTAGAATTTCACGACCTGCGGGTCTACAGCTGCTATTTCTCCACAAATGACCCAATTGATAAATTTAAAAAGGAAATAGAACTAGAGAGGAGCATAAAATCTGCCAAGGGAGAAGTGATAGTAGTGGGCGACTTTAATAGCAAATCTCCAGAATGGGGGGAAAGAGGGGAAATTGTTTGCGAGTTTATAGCAAGATGTGATCTACTCATACTAAGCACGGGAAACGTGAACACGTTCCAGAGGGGAGAAGCGGCATCCATACTGGATCTAACGATAACTTCAAATGGGATTGATAAGAGTGTAAAGGACTGGAAAGTACTGAATGCTGAGACACTTAGTGATCACCGCTACATACATTTGTCATCCTCCAAAGGCATGGGTGGTAATAAATGGGAGCACCAAAAGTGCAGGAGACGACTACCCTGGAACACAAAAAGGAGCTGGTAGAAACTGAGGCGAAAACGTCCCTAGAAGAATCAGTGCTAGTGCATAACATAGGATGGGTGGAGAAGCCGTACCCACCAGAGGCAACAGTAAAAGAAGTGAGGGATATAGTGAAGGCTGCGTGTTTAGCTTCTATGCCTACATGCAGAGGTCCTGGGAGAAGGCAACAGGTGTATTGGTGATCCGCAGAGATTGCAGAGATACGGAAGAAGTGCATTAAAGCCAAGAGACTCGCAACAAGAACAAAAACTGACGAAACACTAAAAAGAGAGCCCAAAGCATGGAAAAAGAACTGAAAGGAGAAATAAAAAATAGGAAATTAAAGTGTTGGAAAGTCCTACTTCAAGAGGTGGAAGATGACCCATGGGATACGGCATACAAAATTGTAACAAAAAATTTGGTTTGAACAAGAAGATTCCCGAATTAGAAGACCCTGAACGGGTGAAGAAAATCATAAGAGATCTTTTCCCTAAGGGTGTCCCACGGAGAAGGAATAAACGGTGTCATTATTAATTTGATGAGAACAATATCTTTACGGACGACGAGCTGCAGATAGAGACGAGAAAATAAAAATCAAAAAAACCACTGGCTCCGATGGAATCCCAAACGAAATTATTGCCAATTGTTGCCAAAGAATACCCAGAATTCTTATTGTCAGTATTCAATTGCTGTCTGAGACATGGTACGTTCCACCAAAACTGGAACAAAACAGAAATTAATCCTACTAAGAAAAGGAAACAAGCCCACAGAGACATCTTTCAGGCCATTATGCCTATTAGACACTATGGGCATATTACTAGAAGGTTTGATTTTGCGAAGATTAAAGAAACATTTAACAGCAGGAATGAACTTCTCTGACAGACAATTTGGCTTCAGAAAAGGCCGCTCGACCACAGATGCTATTCTGGAAGTGGTACGTATAGCTGAAGCTGCTAAAAGAGGAACGAACAGGAAAAAGGGGTTATGCGCCCTGGTGGCTATAGATATAAGGAATGCGTTCAAATCCGATAGATGGAGCGATATTATTAAGGCCCTGGTTGCGAAGCTGGTCTCAAAATGCCTACATAGAATAATAGAGAATTACGTATCCGAAAGGAAGATTACGTACGAGGATGCCTTCAGGCTGGAGGAAGAAATGGCATGTGGAGTACACAAGGTTCCAAGCTAGGCCCATTCTTATGGAACGTCATGTATGACGATCTACTAAAACTCGATCTACCACAACTTACCCAGCTGATTGGATATGCAGACGACACGCTGATTTATAGCCACAGTGAAAACGCAGAACTGCTAGACATGCCCTAAATGAGTCCCTCTTCAAGGTTAAAAGATGACATAAAGAGGCCTGCAAATGGCAGCTGAAAAGGCGGAGGCAGTGCTAGTAATGGACAAAAGAACTATCAAACTCCCCTGCATCACCTTGGACGGAGTAAACATCCCCTGGAAACGCCAAATTACATAATTGGGTGTTGAAATAGACCATAGGTTCAGTTCCGGGTCCCATGTCACTAAAATGGCAGATAAAGTAGCAGCGACTGGACCCAACCTCTCCAGAATTATGAAAAATGTAGCAGGACCAAAAGAAGCCAAGAGACGTATGATTGCCAGCGTAGCTCACTCACAAATGCTTTATGCTGCTCTTGTGTGGGCTGACAGAGTAGGGAAAGCAAGCGTGGGATGGAATTACGCACAAATGCAACGGAGATTGGAGCAGAGACTAGTGTCAGCATACCGCACCGCATATTCGATTTATGGATGCCCGTCGCATCGATCTTGTGGCCAAGGGTTTCCAGGTCAGGTTCTGCGAATTTGCACTTGGCTGGGTTCAGTTTGAGACCATGTTGGCGAAATGGCTCCAGTGTTGCATTTAGGGCCTCAATGAGTTTCTCAAAATTGGCTGCAAAAACAATAGTGTCATCGAAAAAACTTACATTTTTGAGACCTTGTATGACGGTGTCCACAGGCCGCTGCCAGAAAGCAGGAATGTTTGCTGCATCATAGACAGCACGGGTTGGGCGGATCAAGCCACGAGTTGGAGTGTTGAGGGTGAGCGCTGGCTGAATTCGTCGTCAACTTCCAGATGGGTATATGCGTCAGTGACATCTAGGTGGCAAAAGACGGTGGCGCCTCGCATCCGGTTAAACAAGGTTTCTACCTTTGGGAATGGATGTTCGTCGATGATAATTCGTGGATCGAGAGTGGGTTTGTAGTTTCCCGTGATTCTCAATTTTCCGTTCTTCTTGGCGACTACATGCGTTGTAGATGCCCATTCTGAGTACTCTACTCTCTTGTAAAAACCGGATGCGATCTTGGCGTCGATTTCTTTGGCGTAAGCGTCACGCGGGCCACGGGGACGTCTCGAGCTCGATGGGCGTGGCATCCGGCTTCAGGTGCATCTTTGCTTGTGGGCCTGATAGCTTTCCGGGAAGATCGCTGAAAACATCCTGCAAACGATCGATGGTGGCGTCGAGTTCCCTTTTCTGGTCCTGCGATAGGAATGGCTCTGTGGAGAGGTCGTGGATTGATTCTGGTTTGGCAAAGTTGCGTTCAAACTTTATCTCCAGCACAAACTCAGAAATCCATTCTCTAGCGTTTCAAATTCAGCGTCGGCGACATAGAGATTAAGGTTCCTGGATGTGGTCCCGATGGTGGCGGTGACAACGTCTTACCGAGCAGTTGATGCGATGACCGGTGTAACCAGCGAAGAGGCGATCAGTTTCTTGCAGCATAAAGTTTGGTTTAACTAGACTTAACTTCGATTTGCTCATGAACGAACAGGGGGCGACGGTGTCAAGTTCCATCTTAACGGTGGTTCCCTCTATACTGACGTCGATCAATTGCCGTCGTGGGGACTGAACTTTTCCAATAATTTCAATCTTACCGAGATATACGGTGACGCTGTAGTCGGCTGGTAATTCTTCTGCGGCATCTTCAGTTAGTCCTCCGTTATCACGGTTTGTATCGGCAAACTTTGGCAATGTGCCCTTTCTTACCACATTTCCGACATTCAGCATCAAAAAACCGGCATTGACTGCAGAAGTGATCTCCACAACATCCCGCGCACGTTGGCTGATTCTCTGAAGTCTGATTTGGTTAATGAAAAGTTGGGGCCGTGATTGGTTGCCGCTCTGCCGCCGGCTTGTTGACCAACTCGGAGGCCGTTGGTTGTTGCTCCGAAACGGTGGCTTCTCATAACCTATCTGATGAGTCGAATAGGGTTTAAAGGTTATGTCGTCAGCTTTGACTTCGTTAGCGGTGTTGCGCGTGGCTTCGAGTGCGTGGGCAATCTCGCACGCAGCGGTGAAGCTCTCTGGTTTCTTAGCGATGATTTCATCGCTCATATCCCTTGATTCCAGTCCTTTAGTCAATTGTTCAATTAGCATTCGGTCTAAATATGTGCCATAATCACAATAAGTTGCTGCTTGTTTTAATCTAAGAGTGAAGCTGACTATTGACTCTCCACTCCTTTGCATTGTGCTTTGATACTTGATGATTTCAGTGTATTTATTGTGCGTGGCGTCACAATGTTCCACCGATTTCAACTGCATCTCACCGTAAGATAGATTTCCCGGGTTCTCTGGGCTTAAGTCGTTGAGTTCAGGCCCGAAATAAACACGTGCGTACAGCCACCGCCATCAACAGCAAAAGAGGAATAAAAATAGGATGCATATACAACACTTTACAACGCACTGCCTGATGACTAAACAATTAAACTCGGTTCAAAAATTTAAGTTAAAGGTAAAATCTTTTCTGCTTCATAACTGTTTCTATACAATTAAACTCTAAACTGATTATCAAAAAGAAAAATGTTTATTTTAGCAAAACAGTAATATATAATGAATTAGTTTACATTTGTTTTATAATTTTTTTAAAAGACTC